CTTTCTTTCTCCCATGACAATCCAAGGCAAACAGGCTGTAACAAACATACACAAAAAACCTTTTTGTATTACTGCAGTTTAGGCAGCTATAGGTTTTGTAATGCTGGTCCACAAGATGGATTTAAAGTTTAATCTTTTGATTTAAGATTGTGTGTGTGTGTGTGTATATATATATATATATATATATATATATATAATATACACACACTCACACATGCACATTTAATGTGTTAATGCGTAAGAGACTTAATAAAATGAAAAACATACAAATATGTCTAGATTTTTATTTACACTATATTTGATAGACAGACTGAGAAAAATATAAATGTTTCAATATTAATAAAAAAAGTGTAATTAATTTAATGCTCTTAAATGTGTAAATATATTTAATGCAGTATATGATTTGACATTTGACATTATAATACACATACATTTGATGGAATTAAAGGGGTCATATGATGTTGCTAAAAAGAACATTATTTTGAATGTCTCTTTGGATTTGAAACTTTAGTATTTGCAACTTTACGGATCTTCTTTATGCACCAAGAGCTTGTAACACTCCAAAGAGAAAGGAAAAATTGAAATCGCATCATATGACCCCTTTAAAATAAAAATGTATTCAATTATGTATCAGTTATTTATAATAATACATTCTTTACCTGTTTTTAATTTTTATATAGCTCTATATTTATTCTAATATATTTTTATAGATAAATACTGTAGACGTACAGACAGACAGCAAGGTAGATTTTTTTCAAAAATTATTTATTTTAATAAAGTTAAATGTATATATAAATGTATTTAAGGCAGTTAATAATTTACCTATTGGACATTTAAAAATTCTTTAGAATGGATTTATAAATTTAAAGTTGATGCAGATTGGTTAATATAGCATTGCTTATGTGCTGTCCATTGATTTTTATATTTTAATGCCACATTGACCTGGTCCAGAAATGTCAACAGGGAATGCTTGAGTGTTCAACAATGAGTGAAACCACATTGAATTGATGTGTTGAATAAACTGATTTTGTGTAGAAGCTATATAAGAATTTGTCTTACTGCAAACAACAAAAGAAAAATAATTAGCTAAAATTAAGGTGGCGTTTAAGTATCACCTAAACTTAACAGTTAGGAAATATCACCTTTGAGCACCATTAATGGTACTCTTAACAATTCAACAGGTGCCACTGTCAGGTGATATAATTCATTAATTTACCAGTGTTAGCATTGCATTTGTTTGCAGTTCACACCCCTTTGTTTGTTCTTTATTTGACCATGGCCGTGATCTTGTGAATAATTGTAGAACAATATGTAGACGATTAAAATAAGTCAGAATGGAGGCAAAGAACACTAAATCAGTGTGGTAATTGTAATGGCCCAAATCACATTGCTCTAAGTGTTTCAGCTAATATGTTGAGTCAATATGGAAATGGAGCACATAAAGAACAGTGATTAACTACTGACCACACAATGACCCACAGCTGTGATTGCCTCATCTGTCATGTCATTATTCTCAAGTTAATTATCTTGGGAGAGAAAAATATCTTCATCCTAAAAGGCTTTAATGATCTCCATGAAGACAGACTCATTTTGTACTATCAATGTGATGTTATCTAGTGAGATGTCTTCGAGAGCGATATCACGATTGTCAGTCTTATAGTGTCCTGGAAATTGAACGACAATTTCCAGCCAATAGGAACAATTAGTTGTTGTTTTATTTATTTATTTTATGTTGTAGGCCATCATAATCATATCTCACAACTGAATATGTGTTTATCTACCTTAGAGGACTTATTTATTTATTTGTTTGTAATTACCTGACATATTTAGCCAGTAATTGTCTTTTATAGGGAGCCGGCGTTTAAGTATCACCTAAACTTAACAGTTAGGAAATATCACCTTTGAGCACCATTAATGGTACTCTTAACAATTCAACAGGTGCCACTGTCAGGTGATATAATTCATTAATTTACCAGTGTTAGCGTTGCATTTGTTTGCAGTTCACACCCCTTTGTTTGTTGTTTATTTGACCATGGCCGTGATCTTGTGAATAATTGTAGAACAATATGTAGACGATTAAAATAAGTCAGAATGGAGGCAAAGAACACTAAATCAGTGTGGTAATTGTAATGGCCCAAATCACATTGCTCTAAGTGTTTCAGCTAATATGTTGAGTCAATATGGAAATGGAGCACATAAAGAACAGTGATTAACTACTGACCACACAATGACCCACAGTTGTGATTGCCTCATCTGTCATGTCATTATTCTCAAGTTAATTATCTTGGGAGAGAAAAATATCTTCATCCTAAAAGGCTTTAATGATCTCCATGAAGACAGACTCATTTTGTACTATCAATGTGATGTTATCTAGTGAGATGTCTTCGAGAGCGATATCACGATTGTCAGTCTTATAGTGTCCTGGAAATTGAACGACAATTTCCAGCCAATAGGAACAATTAGTTGTTGTTTTATTTATTTATTTTATGTTGTAGGCCATCATAATCATATCTCACAACTGAATATGTGTTTATCTACCTTAGAGGACTTATTTATTTATTTGTTTGTAATTACCTGACATATTTAGCCAGTAATTGTCTTTTAGGGAGCTATTATGCTTGTTTGAAGGCAGGTCGACTCATTAAAACGGAGGTTGGGGTAAAAATGCCTTGTGGCTCATCACTGTTGCTCACTCACCGGGAGCCTGTCTTTGTCTAGGCATTGTTCGCGGAAGAATCTGTGATGAATGGGTTTTAGGAGAACAACGCCGTGGCCTCATTAAAACGGAGGTTGGGGTAAAAATGCCTTGTGGCTCATCACTGTTGCTCACTCACCGGGAGCCTGTCTTTGTCTAGGCATTGTTCGTGGAAGAATCTGTGATGAATGGGTTTTAGGAGAACAACGCCGTGGCCCTATTAACATGTGGCATTTTGTTTTTTTCTGTGATTCGTCACCCCCTGCACAAACATAGACAGCCTCACAAAATGAATCCTTACACACTCGCCGGAAGAAAATCAATAGTGTGATTTAGCAGCTGCTGTAAGGCTCCAAGGACAATGGGTGAGCGTTTAGCCTCCCGATAACGCTATGGGTAAGACAGGTCGCTTTTTACCTTGCGGTGGCAAAGCCAGTCATTGATTAAGGGTTTCTGGCTCTGCGTTCTTCCTCAAGCCTTCATTTCCACCGAATCCATTACCATCATAGCCACTGTTTGTGTGTTCTAAAACATAGATGATACTTCATTGATCAGTGAGTTATGTGATTCAGAAAGTGCACAAATAGGTTTATGAACTTGATGGGTAAACAGTTACTTAAACAGTTTATGGCAGCTGAAGTATTTAGCAACACCACATGGCCAAAAGTACACTACTGTTTAAAAATGTGTTTGTCGGTAAGATTTTTTAACAATTTTTTTTGAAAGAAGTCTCTTATGCTTATTAAGGCTTCATTTATGTAATCAAAAAATACAGTAAAAACAGTAATATTGGGATTTATTTTCCTTTTTTCCCCTTGTAATTTTGACTTGTGTTCTTTTTGTATGTTATTCTTGTTCAAACCAATAAACATTCAATTTATTAAAAAAAAGTAACATTGTGAAATATATATTTTTATAAATATATTTTAAAATGTAATTTATTCTTGTAATGGCAAAGCTGAATTTTCGCCAGCCATTACTCCAGTCTCCAGTGTCATATGATCCATCAGATATCATTCTAACATCCTTGTTATTTCTTTTTATTATCAATATTGAAAACAGTTGTGATGCTTAATATTTTTGTGGAAACCATGATACATTTTTCAGGATTCTTTGATGAATATAAAGTTTAAAAGTACAGCATTTATTTAAAAATAGAAAGTTATAAAGGTCTTTATTGTTACTTTTAATACATTTAATTCATCCTTGCTAAATAAAAATATTAATTTCTTAAAAAAAAAACAATAGCGTACTGTATGTGGACGCCCACATTTAATTCGAAGATTTGGCTCTTTAACTTACACCCTAATAACAGGTGCATAAAATCAAGCATACAGCTGTACAATTTCCATAGACAAACATTTACAGTAAAATAAGGCCCTTTTCTGTTCCACTGTTACATGCTCCTGTGCACAAAGCATGAGTAAATGGATCACTGAGTCTTAACCATTGAACAAATTTAGGATGAATCACGAGTTAGAGCCCATCATGCCTGACCTCACTGATGCTCTTGTGTCTGCTTTACCAGAAAATTGGAAGCTTGTACAGGAGACCAGCTCCCTGTTAAAGGCACAATATGTAATTTTTTGCCACTAGAGGGCGCGTATTCAAAACAAACAAATAAACAAAGGCGTAGTTAGATGATGCCGTGACTGAGTGTGGAATCATGGGAGTTATGTCTTCATCCCCACAGCCGATGCAATTCGATGGGACTCGGGCAGAAATCATGTTCATGGATGAGCTAATGTATTAAAGATTTATTAACGTCGCGTAGTATGAAGCAGAGTGAGGTGGAAAGCCGTTGAAGCAAAACGAGGCCGCTGAACGAGCGCGACACACGGCTCGAAAGCAGCAGAGCTTTTATTATGCCACAGTCGACCGCTTCCGCTCCTACCGGAAAGCAGCGGAAGTAAGCAGCGCTGTTTTATCATACTAGATACATTTGAACATTCTGTTATAATGCTACTCTGTGTGGTCAAATTGCTTATTTCTCTGGATTTAAACATTCTTCAAAACATTTGGGATAATGTAAGTACACAAGTCAGCAAAATATATAAAACTGTTCTAGTGTTTTTTGGATATTTTAATAAAAAAATCTTACATATTTTGCCTTTATTGCCCATGATTTTGAAATTAAATATTCAACAAGCACATACAATATGGTGCCCACACACTTCTGACCATGTATTGAAGATATAAATGGTCAGTTGCAGGCATAGGATTGTAGCATCAGGTAAAAGATTGAGTTCACTTCAGTGTTTGTGTTGATGATGCATCTAAATCTGCTCTATCCTTTATCTTACAGTTCTGCAGATGAAAAGTTTCGCTGGAACAACCAAGGTAACTGGACAGTTTTCTTGCTGAAATTAGAATTTTCTTCAGCCCGTTGTTTTGAAATCCATGAATTTAAACCTTACAAGAAGGTGAATGCTGCATGAAGAGCACCTTTTCCAATGCATTTTGACAGTTGTAATCATCTAGCAGCCCACGTGGTACACCGTGCATGTCAAAGTGAAACATGTTGACTTTTGACTTTATTAATTGTGCTACAGCAAAATGTTAGCCAAAGATGACAACCTTTGCATTCCAGAGCATAAAACATTGAGGAGAGGCTGAGATTGAAGAGCAGGAGCAGTGCGGGGCATAAATGATTCATGAGCTTGCAGTCACGCCACACTCTTTAAAATACTGGACTCTTGATGAAGCATCAAAACAAGACCAGATTAAGCATCTCATTCGCATTCCTGGCTAGTTCAAATTAAATTTCTGTAGTAGATTCCTCAGTGGTGGGTTTTGTACTTCAAAATGATTTCGCCTTAATCAAAATACGTAGCTACCCAAATACCAAAACTACATTGTAAAAACATTGTGATAAGGTTGTGATACCATTTGTGACCCTGGACCACAAAACCAGCCTTAAGTTTCTTGGGTATATTTTTAGCAATAGCCAAAAAAACATTGTATGTGTCAGACTCTGGGCCAGGTTTTGTGTGTGTCTTTGCTCCCCATGTGCTCTGTTACCCAGTTTCAGTGTCTCCTGTTTTGAGTTCATTGTTCCCAGGTGTTTCCAATGTTGATTGTCATTAGATCCAGGTGTCCCTCGTCTTCCCTTCATCAGTTCCTGTGTATTTAAAGTGTGTTCTTGTTATTTGTCAGCCGTTGGACGTCATCCTGATGTGTCGAGTCTTGTGATCCCCAGCCTTTGTTTAATAAACCCTTTTGATTTACTTTACTCCGTGTCTCCTCGCGCCTGTGTTCCTCGTGTGTGTGAAATGTGACAGTATGGGTCAAAATGATAGATTTTTCTTTTATGCCAAAAATCATTAGGATATTAAGTAAAGATCATGTTCCATGAAGATATTTTGTAACTTTCCTACCGTACATATCAAAACTTAATTTTTGATTAGTAATATGCATTAAGAACTTCATTTGGACAAATTTAAAGGCAATATTCTCTATTTAGATTTTTTTGCACCCTCGGATTCCAGATTTTCAAATAGTTGTATCTCGACCAAATATTGTCCTATCCTAACAAACCATACATCAATGGAAAGCTTATTTATTCTTAGTTTTCAGATGATGTATAAATCTCAATTTCAAAAAATTGACCCTTATGACTGGTTTTGTGGATACTTAATACGTCCAGTGTTGTGTGCAAAAAGTACGTCCACTTTTTGTTTACAAAAAAATTGTTACAATGCTGCAGAAACATTTAAAGATCAAATATGAGACTCCACTGTCTTTTTTGATATTCCTTTATTAAATTATGTCACAAACTAGCCTATATGAATCTGAATAACCAGCATATGGTTGTTTTTTGGACACAAACCTACTTTCTGTAAATAAAAGTATTGTCCCTATGTGTTTTTGAACTATCTAATTCAGAAGTACAGATTGTTATTTTAAATTTAAAATGTTGCATAATTGGTCTGGTTTTATTTGCATAGTACAAATGTGATTTTAATATGTAAACTGAGCATTATTGTTACATCTTACAATTTTAAATAATAGGTGTTATTTCTAGAATGTTTTTGCAAAGTGCAGTGTTATTGCAATGTAACCTAACAGCAATCAAAATGTAACATGTAAAACAAATTAAGCTCTTAATGTAAAACATTCATACTTTAGTTACGGTAGTTACTCAACAAGCGCTTAATGTTTAACATTAAGTGCTTGCTGAGTAATTACCGGCATATTGAAACTGTTTTATTGGTAGGTGTTTTTATTAGTCTGCTCGATGAAGTTACCTTTCATGTCTTTGTTCACAGATGGACAGAAGGATATAGAGGAGGAGCTCACCACAGGCCTGGAACTTGTAGATTCCTGCATCCGATCTCTTCAAGAATCTGGTATTCTGGATTCACAGGAATTCACTGCAGGCGAAAGTAAGGAGCACTTTTAAATACTGGAAGTTTAACACAATTAAGAAATTACTGAGGCTGAACAATGCTAATGACTTCTAAATGTTCCGATCCTGCAGAGTTGTGATCTTAAGATGAAATGATTGATAGTCGGGGGTGCTATAATTTACATTCTACAGTGTTCTTTGACAGAAATGCGTTAAAATGACCTTGCAGGTGTTGTTCTGTAGAGCACATGAGTATATCCTCCAGCTTTCTGAAATTCATGAGTGAGCCTCCCTGCCTGCCTTATTATTCATGTTAGCAGTTTAATGCATGAATTACAGGTTATTTCTGAATTTAGTTTTTGGGGTAACAAATTCAAGGAGGCAACAAATGTTCAAATAGTGTATGTCAAAAAGCCTATTCACCCTGCTGAGAGTATCAGGCCTACCTCATCTGAACAGATTAAATATGAATACTCTGAACAGTTGATATATTTTCAAAGGCTCAGTTTCTTAGCATTTAAGGAGGTTGAGATATACAGTGTACAAATAAAAGGTTTCCAGATAACCTAGAGAAAAAAAAAAGTTTGACATAGCTGTAACTAAACAAACTTAACCGCAGGAAACTTAAACTAAAGCATCGTCAAGAACATGAAATATTGAGCAAACTGCTAAATAAATCAGTGTACATGGATGCATGGACACTTAATGGTTTTTAATGAACTATCTTACAAGACAGATCAAGTATATTTTGTATTTATTTACTCAGCTGTAGTGGTTCCAGCCACTTTCTCTAGTTGTGAGTTATAAATAGAATTCAGCTGAAATATTTATCGGTTCTGATCTAAAATGCAGGTCATAGAGTGTGGAGATAAAACCCCTGTCCCCAAACAGATAAGTGACCAGCCACCTAGACATAGATTGTCCACCGCACAACCACTCTGTATGGCAGCAAATGGCATCTTATGATGCCTAAAATGCTTGGGTTGAGACTGGAGAAGGATCAGAAGTCTGATTATGGATTTATGAAACTTTCAGCTCTTACTGTAAATGTGCCTCTTTTTGAATCTGATAGTGGCTAAAGTGATTATAGTAGTAAACTCCAGCCATTTTCAATAACCGCAGTCAGACAGTTTCTGATATTACTGGGTCATCTGAAATGACCCAGTTATCATCTTCAGTGGTTTTGAAGTCATACTGTCACATAGTCAGTTTATGGGAAATCTTTTCATAGACTGCAAACCTTTATTGGTTTTCTTTTAACCTTCAGATTTGCAGCCTATTTTTGTTTATAGAATGTTGTGGCGTGTAGATCTTTTGTAAACAAACATTATTGCTCTGTCAGGCCATTTCAAACTGGCACCTCTTTAAAAGATGCAACATCTTTAGGTGCTGTCAGACATCCTCAGAAGAGGAGAAACATGCCATGACAGTGTGGCAATAAGCTTCGGTTAACACAACACAAACCACACATCATCATGATCGACTTTGCTGGCTGTCAGAGATTAAACAGCATGCAAACTCATCTCTGTGCATACAGGTGATATGTGATGCTACATAGCAGTGATTCCCAAACGGGTATAAATCACAGGAATTACTTCATCACATTCCGGGGGTACAGAAATTTGGATTTTGCTCTGTTAATCCTGTAAAACATAAATTATGACTTTAATGAATTTTAATTAATTAATTTAATTTAATTAAAACATGTTTACTATTAAACATGTGAATTTTAAAGTCTACACTTACAATTCAAAAGTTAAGGGTTGGTATGATTTTTTTTATGCATTAAAACATTTCTTATTATCAGTGTTGAGTATTTTTGCAGAAACTGTTATGCTTCTTCTTTCAGGATTCTTTGAATAGAAAGTTCAAAAGAACAGCATTTATTTTAAATAGATTTTTTTTTTTGTAACAATGTCTTTGTCACTTTTGATCAATTTAATGCATCCTTGAAGATTTCTTTCAAAAAATGACCTTAAACTTTTGAATGGTAGTATATGATAATAAAATATAAATATATGAATGTATGCTATGCTGTATATGTAGAATTTCAATAAATATAATCAAAAGCTTCATTTAACTACAAATATTTTATTAAAAGGAATATGAACACAAAATGAATATTTCATCAGTATATCAATATTTCTGTTTTTCTGTCATGCACCGTCGGTTTGACACTCGCTCAGTGAAGTTTTTGAATTTATGCTTATGGCCTCCTTTGAAAAGAATAGAATGTTTAATATGTTATAACATGCTCTATATTTCTCCAACAGTTTTACTTGATTCACTCACACTTTCATTCTATTAAATGTCTCAGCCAATCAAACTAAATGGCGTTATAAAGCCAGTTTCTATAGTTTTTCAAACTGCATGAGCTGGTAGGTAAAGCTGCTTCAGTTGTATTTTCCCCAACAGTATTCAATTTTGGTCACACTTTATTTTAAGGTCCAATTCTCGCTATTAACAAACCATTAACTACACCTTTTGCCTCAATAAACTCCTAATTTGCTGCTTATTAATAGTTAGTAAGGTAGTTGTTTAGGTATTGGGTAGGATTAGGGATGTAGAATATGGTCATGCAGAACATGTGTTTTAGATGTACTAGTAAACAGCCAATATGTTAATAATACGCATGCTAATAAGCAACTAGTTATTAGTGAGAACTGGTTCCTATACTAAAGTGTTACCTTAATTTTTTTTGTTTCAAAGTGAGTCATGGTAATAGTGTCCAATTTAATAATGTATTATGGTCATTCTGAATGATATCCAGTATAATAAGAGTACATTTCTAGCTATACTTGTACCTTATTTATGTGATTGTGGGGGACGTACTGTAAGACGAAAAAGGACTGGGAATCACTGCTGTCAGCATAGGAGGGACCGAGTGAAGAGAAGGGACTGCGATTTTTGTTCATACTGACCCCATTTTCTTGAATGTGTGCTCATTGAGTGTCTTCCAGCAGTGTTTAATTATGCATGCCTGTTCTGTCCATCTACTCACTGTGAGGCTTGAAATAATGAGCAGTATAAAAGAAAGTAAAACAGAGAACTGTGGATGGAGGCTGGAAGACAATGACAGAATATGAGATGAAATGGTAAAGCAATTAACCAATTTTACAAAGGTAAAAATGAGGTGAGGGGAATTATATGGACAGAGAAGAGAGGGTAACAAGATTTGCATCTTCTGAAGGAAATACCTGAGCTTGCAAGGCAGCAAAAGAAACAAAGTTTTATGTAAGTTTAGATTTTAGGCTTTGATTCTATGTAAATGTAATACTGCATCTTGCCGCTTTTGACATAGTCATAGCAATCATCATACTTGGCTGCACACAAGAATGAGCAGTCACTGTAAAAGAAGTTACACATTGTTAAATATATGCAAAGATGACAAGACCAATTTCAATTCTATATGCAAATAGATAGTATGAAAGACCAACTGCAATGCAATGTCTCTGTTGGAAATAAACGTGTGATTGTTATACGTAATCATAAAGTTAAACAGTTTTGTCTTGTATTTCTTTTCCCCAAATTTCCCCTTCACAGGACCAGGCATCCTCTCTCAGAGTGCTTTGCAGCTCAATAATCAAGAGGGCACCTTTCCCTATCCAGTCAGTTACCATAGCAACCAGACCCTGGCCCTCGGCGACCTGTCGGCCTCCCAGCCTCCTCACAGTGGTCAGATGGTAGGAGCCTTACATAGCTATAATCAGGTGGGGATTCATCTTTTTGTAAAAACTCAGATTTTGACCCTCTTGTCTTAAACTGTGTGAATTATACCCTGTTTTTTTTTTTTAGAAAACCCTCTGGGGGGAATTCACTAAGTAGTGCGTCCGCTAATAACGCTGTTCATGTGCATGCACTGCCTTAATGTTTTTAGTGCCAGAACAATGTTCTTTTTTCAGTCGTGGCTTTTGCCTTATTAAAATCATCTATAAATGTTGTCAGTAAATTTAGTCAGTGTTCATTCAATTATACTCAGACTAAAATGCATCTAATTTTAGTTGAGAAGTTTGTCAGATCAAATATTCAAACAATTGATATATTAAATAATATTTTATATATATATATATACATAACACTGTAAGATACTAAAATGCATTGACAGTGTTTTGTAATGTTTTTGTAATTCTTGTTAAAAGTTGATGCATTCAAAGTTGGAGCTTAATTCATGGCCATGTTTTATTATTTTGTTGCCTCGTTTTAATTTAGTTAAATTGTGGCCACAATGTTTATTACAGTAAAAAATAATACCACAGTTTAACTAAAACAATGCAACAGATTAATAAGTTGTTTTTTTCCCCCACATATAATGTACAGGCTATGCATATTTTAACATCAACTTTTAACAAAAACTAAAAAAAAATATATATATAGATATCGTTACTGCATTGTTACTATTTTGCCGTGTTATTTTTTGCAAATGCAAATTAGGCTACAGTGTTGCGCAACAATAATTGTGCAATCTTTATTGAGTCTAAATTAAATAGTAAGGAGCCTTGTTTGTGCTGAAAAGAATGACAATGACTTAAATCCTCATTTGCATTTAAACTGGACTATGAACTGTTGCTGCACTGAATTACTAAAAGTGTTTAGTGAATTCACCCCTTTTTCCCATGAAAATATCATGTACCACCATCACTTAGTTCACAGCTCCTGGATGAGTGAAATTTTAGCTCTTTACATGTCACTTACCTCCAGGTGACATCTAATCGTGTTGTCCAGCTGGCTGCCAGAGAGACAGCCGCCCGGGCCCATTCTCAAGACTCCTTTGCCCAGGGTCATGGCAGTGCATTCCACATGCCTGACAATCAGCCAGCAGCCCCTGTAAACTATTCCTGCTCCACTCTACCAGCCCAGAGAGTGAGCTCTCCCTTTTCCATGCAGGCTTTGGGCTCCCCATCCAAACTGCAGAGGCTGGGCTCAGCCTCCGACATGCCCAGCTACGCCACTTTGGCGCGGGTGTCGTCACCCAAGCAGTCCCCGAGCCGGCTGGCCAAGTCCTACAGTACCAGCTCTCCCATCAACATGGCAGTGGGAGGAGGGTCGTCCTCTTCGCCACTGCACATGGCCGGACCTGGCAATGCCTCCAGCTCGTCTCCGCTACACCAGTTCAGCACTGCAGTGGGAAGCTACGCCACTCTGTCCCCCACAAAACGTATGCTCCACACCACCGATCAGTACAAGATCTCTCATGATCTGTATGCCAACGCCACCCTCCAGAGACCTGGCAGTCTGGCAGGTCAGTGCGATTTGCGGGATACAGTGTTTCCATTTGGTAGTATCACCATTAAAAACACATAAGCACTGGTCACACTTACTGTAGCGGTTGTTTGATATCATCAGACAGATGAATCGGAATTTGACACTGTTGTTTCCAAGTATATTTATAGCATTTTTGTTCTGGTTAATGGCGCTTGAGAATCTGCCTTTGTATATGATGTAGGTTCCAGGGGTTCGTACAGCAGTCAGCACAGTCACCTGGGCTCGGAGCTAAGACCCTTGCAGTCTCCTGAGCACCATATCGACCCCATTTATGAGGACAGAGTCTATCAGAAAGCCCCCCTGAGGAACTTCAACCAAGGCCAGGGTAAGATAAGCAGACATCAGGTTCTCTAACAATTTAACGTCAACAGCAAAAATCTTCTCCGTTAGAACATCATGGCTCTAGTACAGGTGCATTTATGAAATAAAAGGCTTGTTTCGGCTTTCTTTTTGTTCAAAATAGAAATGTTTTCCCAAAGTGCCCAATTTATAGCAGTGAGCAGCTAGACATCATCACTTTAACTGTATCAGATAGTATTAAGTTTTTGCTTTTAAGGTTTTAAAGTCAATTTACTTCCATTCACATTTTGTTTTGAGCTGAATATAATATATCATTACAACTAATTTATGGTGCTTTATGGCATGTCTAGACACCTTAAAAAATGTCTTGCATAAAAAAAGTGTAATCTATATAAAAGCACAGGCTTCTCTATACGTACATTACATGTTTGCAGGCTAATGGATGTGCTTTTCAGTGTTTCTACTTGTACAGCCATAAAAGCATGTATGTACTGTAGGTTAAAAGGACAATTCAGTCAAAAATCAGTTACTCATTTACTCAAACTCATGTCCTTCCTAACCTGTATGACTTTCTTTCTTTTGTGGAACAATAAGGAAATATTTTGAAAAGTGTCTTTCTTTGCAAAAATTCAGTGTCGTCCAATGTTGTTTTGGACCCCAGCGTATCTTCTTTTGTGTTCCACTGAAGAAAGAAAGTCATACAGGTTTAGAACGACATACCTTAAACATTTTCATCCAAACTTGTCCACCTGAAAGTTATTGAAAGTCAGCATCAAATGCGGTTCTCAACTCACTTTGCTTCCATAACCTAATGTATTTCTTTGTCAAACCAATTATGGATCATGATATGGGATAGGGCAGTGCTTCTCAACGGATTTGGCCATGAGACCCACATTTTCCCATGGTCATCAAGCCGCGACCCACTTTATATATATATATATAATTTGTTTAAAAAAATATACCTTCATACAAATCCTTCCCAGCTAACACACAAAGTACCAGTTATGTGATTTATTGGTACTTTACTTTTATTTCACACGTTGCATGCTCCTAGTTTCTTTTGCGCTTTAGTGAAATGATGTACAGTGAGCGCTGCCGCATTTGCGCGAGCAATTGAAGAGTGCGTGCTACAAGCACAGTATAATGTCTGACAGGACAGGATAGTTCATTTTTCTGAGGTGAGAGACTTTTCGACCCACTTTATATATATATATATAATTTGTTTAAAAAAATATACCTTCATACAAATCCTTCCCAGCTATCACACAAAGTACCAGTTATGTGATTTATTGGTACTTTACTTTTATTTCACACGTTGCATGCTCCTAGTTTCTTTTGCGCTTTAGTGAAATGATGTACAGTGTGCGCTGCCGCATTTGCGCGAGCAATTGAAGAGTGCGTGCTACAAGCACAGTATAATGTCTGACAGGACAGGATAGTTCATTTTTCTGAGGTGAGAGACTTTTTATTTCATAGCAAGTTACAAAAAAAACTATAGAATAATGAGACTGACATTAAGCCTGACAACATCTCATCTGACTGCAGATACTGAATCGGGACAGCATGTTTTTCTCAGGCAGTCTTTACTTAAACTGCAAAAAAAGTGTCAACAGCTTTCACGCACATTTTTCAAAACAAAAGTCTTGCATCAGAAAAATATTTAGAATTAAGTTTTTTGTTGTTGTTGATGTTTCTTTGACTGAACACTCCGCGACCCACTCAGAACGGTCTTGCGACCCACCAGTTAACACTGGGATAGGGTACAGATTTGGAATTTATTGGATTCTAAAGAGTGGGTGTTACATACCAAAATGGAATCATATGATTGAAAGGGAAGTGTTGAAAATTAATAGGGAATTGTTACATCATGTAAAAAAGGTTATTTGACATTTTTACAAAGGTTCAATTAGAAAAAGTTTCTTAATTTCTATCATATTAAAGTATTTCATACCAATTTGTATGCTGTAAGTGTTTGTTTATTGCTAGGCATTGTGTTTTAAACTATCCTGTTTTGCTATGAAAATAGCCTTTAGTGCTGACATGGCATAAAAAATAAAAGAATAAACAAATTAACATTTTAAAAAGTGTAATTTTTTTTATTTGGAATAATAAAAAATAAAATCATGCACACCAGGCTTGTGCAATAAAAAGTAAATGTTCTTGTTGACTTTAAAGTGGGAGTGTTTCCAGCGTAGCTCTAAGCTCCAGTCAACTGGAAAACTCTGCCATCAGGATGAACAGCCGTCAGTGGTGGTTTCTGGGTAGCTATTCAAATCTGAACAAAAGCAGACCAGAGAGAAAAAAAAACAGTTTTGCATTGACACTCAGACAAGCTAATAAAGCACCTACTGAAGAGCTATCATTACGGGTCAGTTTGTTATTTTGATGGCTTAACATCCTTTCTGTTCTGTTTTACTCCTCCTGTCCTCCTTCTCCTTTCTTATGATTTTAATACCTGGTCAATTTGTAACGTTTTTCACCTTTTGCCGCACCCAAAGATCCAGTGAACCAGTTTTGTGACCAGGTCCTGAACTTTCTGCTCTGTCCCTACTCTCCTGTTGTAGCCCCTTCCTCTCCTGGTGTTGACTCCATACCCTTGCAGCGTACGGGAAGCCAGAACGCCACAGGAACATTCCCCCGTGGCGGCTACGCCACTGGCCCTGGTGCCTCCACCGCCGACTATGCCAACCCCTACCGTACACTACAGTTCTGCCCTTCCACAGATTCACCCTACAGCAAATCGGGACCTGCTCTGCCCCCGGAGGCAACACTGGTCAGGTCGCCCTCTGTGGACAGCATCCAGAAGGACCCCAGGTGAGTTCTCCCACTGTCTAAGGCATCTTGAAGGAACTGCGTATGGAGATCTCAGCCAGTTAGTGAGAATTAGAGCCGAACTGACAGGCTGTGTGATTAACTAATCAAACAGAGCTTCACATGCACAAGTTGTCAATTAAGACACTGTAGGGGAGAGTGGGGTAAGCTGTGCCATTGTTTAATTTTATTTGTCCTTAGGTAAGGAGAAATTAGAACTAATATGGCTAATTACAATTCAGGATATCTGGTGTCAACTGAATACAGAAGAAAAGCATGTATAACACAGGGTCATAGAAATATGACTTCTCAAAAACGAAAACTTGATGAATAAAAACAATCCAATTCCAAAGTCTTATTTTTTCGGCACGTTATTTGTAAACAGTGTTGGGCAGTAACGCATTACTTAGTAACGCATTACTGTAATTTTATAACTTTTTTAGTAACTGAGTAATTTAACGCGTTATAATTTTCAAAATAGTAATTAGAGTATAGTTACAAGCCGAGGTCTCTATACGTTACTGCCGCGTTACATTGCTGACAGAATGCAGTGTTTATAATCTAGAGATTGTAAAAAGGACATAGCACATGCACTGTCGAGTCAAGTGCCAGTGGATTAAAAACCTGCTCCCACGAGACCCGACGCGACAGAGCGCAGCGCGGGACAAGATGGACGAGTGCTGCTGCGGGCGGATAGACAATCGTGTGTGCGCGGGATGCAGGAGAATAAAATGATTCACGGGACTCCCGCAAAATAGAAGTATCTAAAACAAATAAATTGTTATTCATCTATTGCACAAAAGCAACATGAACTAAAATCTAAAGATTAAACATTGCTGACAGAATGCAGTGTTTATAATCTAGAGATTGTAAAAAGGATATAGCACATGCACTGTCGAGTCAAGTGCCAGTGGATTAAAAACCTGCTCCCACGAGACCCGACGCGACAGAGCGCGGCGCGGGACAAGATGGACGAGTGCTGCTGCGGGCGGATAGACAATCGTGTGTGCGCGGGATGCAGGAGAATAAAATGATTCACGGGACTCCCGCAAAATAGAAGTATCTAAAACAAATAAATTGTTATTCATCTATTGCACAAAAGCAACATGAACTAAAATCTAAAGATTAACAGGTGCAAGCGTATGCAGAGTTTCTATTTAGGCTATAACACGTGTTTGCAGCGTTGAGCAATGCAGTGCTGACGAATCCTCTCATTATAACATATGAATTGTAGACATTATGAAAGATTCATTATGCATATATTTATTGTGTTATAACAGAGATTTGTAAGATTGCGATGAGCTGAGATATCTTTTAGAGATTATAAATGCAGTGCTCTTTGCTGGCATTCTGCCATCCAAACCATGCACGCAGCAGCCACTTGCTTTAGTTAAAAATAACAGTGTTCTGTGAATGTTGATGCTTTAATAACAAATATTTATAGGGAGCGTGTATGCTGGTATTTCATAAATTTCATGGAGAAAAAAGTAACGTAACTAGTAATGTAACTAATTACTAATTACTTTTGAAATAAAGTAATCAGAACAGTAACGTGATTACATTTAAAAGGAGTAATTATTCATCAGTAATTTGATTACATTTTCAGAGTAACTTGCCCAATGCTGTTTGTAAACCACCTTAGACAGATGTCACTACATATTTGAATGAAGTTAAATAATTTTCTGAATTTTATAATCTGAATAATATTTCTTGCATTTGGAGGCAAAGTTCATTATTTGGTAAGCTGACACAACTTACCTCAAAGCATCAGACGCACTTTACCCCACAGATACAGTACCATTCAAAAGTTTGGGGTAAGTAAGATTCTTTTTAATGATTTTGAAAGACGTCTGTTATGCTCATATGTTGTGAAATATTATTTAATTTAAAAATAATTTTTTAGGATTTTCAGCAGAAACATTTCTTATCACTGTTGAAAACAGTGCTGCGTAAACAGGAGTACAATATTTTTCAGGATTCTTTCATCGTGTCTACACCGGATTGTCGTGCCTTGTCGCTCCGCAACAGCTAAAGTCTGTCAACACTGGACGCGACAAAGCGACCGTTGCAAATGATTTGAATTTTGAGTTAGTACGTCATAAATAGAACGCGGCAGCAGTTTACTTTCGGGGATTTGTCTTGTCGCGCCGCATCCAGTGTAGACAGCCTCTTTTGATCAATTTAATGCATCGTTGCTGGTTTTTGTTTGTTGTTGTTTCATTGTTGATTAAAATAAAGAAATCTTACCCCAGAGTTTTGAATGGTTTTGAATTCACCAATATGAGATATATTGTATATCAGTGTAGATAATGAAAATGCTCAATATTTATGTGCATCTCTCAGTCACAAGCAGCTGTGCATGATGGGTTCTTTCTAAATATATGGTCACTTGTAAAAAAAAACAAATTGTGCAGTGTTCTTGATTAAGGGGGTGACACATCTTACTTCACTCTCTCCTACAACATGAATCAGACTTCACACGACGTCACTTCCTGTAGTACTATAGTTTGCCTGTGTATACATACAAAATCACAAAAACGATATTACACATTTGTCACAATTGTAAACATTCTTCAAGAAAGATAGCGCATGATTTTATGGATTATATAGGTAGTCAGTTCCACCTTGTTTACGCTGTCGTTATGCTAGTATTAAGCATATTTTGGTTTTATCATGTGACATTAATTGAATGTGCTGAGAGGCCATTGACGATCATCTCTTGTGAGCTAAAGTACTTTAGCACTTTATCTTTTTTTGTTTGCTTGCTTTTTCTGCTGATTTGACCTTGTTTTTTTTTTG